CACGTGCACAAGTACTATAAGTCCTTCCTTCGCCTTGAGCCCTGTGGAGGGGAATAAAATATTTTTGGGGTGAGCTAGAAGCTCAGCGAGTAACCAGCAAAATCATTAAGCAAATATATTTCACAATGTTGCATTTCGATGATTTCGATGATGTCATGATTCAGAGATCAAATGTCCGTTTAGTGCTCTCGTGAGCCAGTGAAATCATTGCACTAGAACACCCAACGCTCAAATAGATCATAACACACGAACAGAGAGAGGAAGCCCCTTTTTGAGCTCCAGATAACCATGAACATGAACCACAAACAGAGTGGAGACGTTGGTGTCCAGCACAAGACTTTCCCAGAACTCATTGAAGCCAAATCATGTCATGAATTCACATGCAAGCACGCATGATATGCAATCGAATAATTAATGCAAGAAACATTTCACAAGTACTTTGGAAATAGTTTAGGGTCACTCACCTCCACGGCTCACAATCCTCGTCCAATATAGCCAATTCCATCATTCAATTCCAAGCCTTTCACATGAAACTTAAGGTAACCAACGCTATTAAAAATCGGACAGCATTTCCCCATAAATTCATCCTTTCCATCCTACAATCAAACACAATCACATAGCAATTAACCACAATTGCTCAAAACCAGAAAATAGTTTTAACGTCCTTTTGCGGTAATGGTGCCAAAAGCACTACGATGGTCGGATGAAGGTGCAAGACCCACCGTTTCGAAGCTAAAAACCAGGGCTACAACAATGTAGAAGGCCACTCAGTCCAAATCCCAGCACAACTAAGTCATATATGCCAAATACCAAACCAGAATCGTAATTGCAGGTTCCCAAATCACACAAAACTGTAATCAGTCCAATTCAGTCCACACAGGTCCAAATGCATTGATTCCAAAGGCACATGAAAGATAAGACATCAAGATACATTTCATCAGAAGACACCAACTTCAAAATCCAAACCAAATCCAGTCAAAATAGGCAATTACTATCGCAGTTCCGCACATTCTGTTCACCCAGAACAGCAACAGTAAAAACGGCATAACTCACTCTATACTACTCCAAATGCCCTGAAATTTTTCAGGCACTTCATACTCATCAATACCTACAACTTTCATGTTTTGAGAAAAGTCCAATTCGGCCTCTATCTATGACCTAAAATTTCGGACAGAATGTTCAACCAAGAACCCTAATTTTCCAGAAATTCTTCCAAATTCAAAATTGATTGCATTTCACAACAATTCACACCTACTAGAGCCAAAGCCCCTTATTACCAACCATCATACTAGTCCACAACATCAAAATCATATGAAACCAGAAAATTCCTCATAAAATGGAAAACTTCACCAAATCAAGCCAAACCAAGAAATAAATCATATATTCCAACACTCAAGCCACTTCTAAGCATAAGATAACCATCATTAGGTGTAGTAGAGGTTCAAGCATCACTTACCAAGTAATCAAGAGAGATAGGGAGTGTGGACACCTTAGCTCTCCAAAAAAAACTTCACTAAGCACTCAAGAGCACCAAAGGAAGGAATTTTATGGAGTAGATTCTAGTTTAAGCACTTGAGTTGGGAGATTTGAGCTTGTTGGAAGCTTAAACTTGGAAGAGTTTTTCTTTCTTCTTGGATGAGAGGTTCGGCCATCAAGGAGCAATAAATGGTAAGTTTTGTTCAATTTTTAAGATATTTAAACAAGTGGTCAAAAGGTCAAAAAATAGAATAGTAAACCATAAAGTCCAACCAATCATATTGTGACACTTGTCACACTCATTAATGCAACTCTATCCTTTTGTCTCTCCAATACAAATACCTTAACACTTTGTAAAATAATATCACTTAATACAAAAATCCAACAAGTTGTCAAAAATATAATGCATTTACCGCACTTGCGGGTCCCACGTCCAAAATACGCTTTTAATTTCTCAAAAACTAACCGATACTAGAAAAATCATTTTAAAACTATTTTTACTCATAAACTTTATCTGGGGAATTTTTCTAATAAAGAAAATGTAGAAAAGGCGGGCGATTAAATAAAATAAACCCTAGAAAATTAGAAAATTTTCGGGTTCTCATACTCATACTTTTCGGGGCGTCACAATCTCCCCTCCTTAAAAGAATGTCGTCCTCGACATTCCATCTTGTACCAATCAAGTCAAGACATCCCGCAAAAATATCTCAAGAGTCAAATCAAACCCACAGTCCGGCATCCTAAACTTCAAGCCTAGGATACACTACAGAGATCTGAAGCCTAAGCTCTGATACCAACTGTGACAGCCCCACCTCCCCCTAAAGCGAACCAGAGGGTTCGGCGGGCCGCCTGCCCAGCTCTCGCCGGGACTCAGTCGTTCACTAAAGTCCTCAAATAAATTACGAGATAAATCTCAAATATTACATCAAATTCTCCAATAATTACATGTCAAAAGCGAAGCGGAAATAATTCTCAACTATACATAAAATGATTTCCAAATCCAAACTATACAAGATATATGTCATCCAGTCACGTGAACAATTGCATGTCACAAATGGTCCACAAATATCACAATTGCAGCGGAAACTAATCCCAACTATACATAAAATGATTCCAAATCAAAACTGTACAAAACATAGGCCATCCAATCACGTGCACAAGTACTATAAGTCCTTCCTTCGCCTTGAGCCCTGTGGAGGGGAATAAAATATTTTTGGGGTGAGCTAGAAGCTCAGCGAGTAACCAGCAAAATCATTAAGCAAATATATTTCACAATGTTGCATTTCGATGATTTCGATGATGTCATGATTCAGAGATCAAATGTCCGTTTAGTGCTCTCGTGAGCCAGTGAAATCATTGCACTAGAACACCCAACGCTCAAATAGATCATAACACACGAACAGAGAGAGGAAACCCCTTTTTGAGCTCCAGATAACCATGAACATGAACCACAAACAGAGTGGAGACGTTGGTGTCCAGCACAAGACTTTCCCAGAACTCATTGAAGCCAAATCATGTCATGAATTCACATGCAAGCACGCATGATATGCAATCGAATAATTAATGCAAGAAACATTTCACAAGTACTTTGGAAATAGTTTAGGGTCACTCACCTCCACGGCTCACAATCCTCGTCCAATATAGCCAATTCCATCATTCAATTCCAAGCCTTTCACATGAAACTTAAGGTAACCAACGCTATTAAAAATCGGACAGCATTTCCCCATAAATTCATCCTTTCCATCCTACAATCAAACACAATCACATAGCAATTAACCACAATTGCTCAAAACCAGAAAATAGTTTTAACGTCCTTTTGCGGTAATGGTGCCAAAAGCACTACGATGGTCGGATGAAGGTGCAAGACCCACCGTTTCGAAGCTAAAAACCAGGGCTACAACAATGTAGAAGGCCACTCAGTCCAAATCCCAGCACAACTAAGTCATATATGCCAAATACCAAACCAGAATCGTAATTGCAGGTTCCCAAATCACACAAAACTGTAATCAGTCCAATTCAGTCCACACAGGTCCAAATGCATTGATTCCAAAGGCACATGAAAGATAAGACATCAAGATACATTTCATCAGAAGACACCAACTTCAAAATCCAAATCAAATCCAGTCAAAATAGGCAATTACTATCGCAGTTCCGCACATTCTGTTCACCCAGAACAGCAACAGTAAAAACGGCATAACTCACTCTATACTACTCCAAATGCCCTGAAATTTTTCAGGCACTTCATACTCATCAATACCTACAACTTTCATGTTTTGAGAAAAGTCCAATTCGGCCTCTATCTATGACCTAAAATTTCGGACAGAATGTTCAACCAAGAACCCTAATTTTCCAGAAATTCTTCCAAATTCAAAATTGATTGCATTTCACAACAATTCACACCTACTAGAGCCAAAGCCCCTTATTACCAACCATCATACTAGTCCACAACATCAAAATCATATGAAACCAGAAAATTCCTCATAAAATGGAAAACTTCACCAAATCAAGCCAAACCAAGAAATAAATCATATATTCCAACACTCAAGCCACTTCTAAGCATAAGATAACCATCATTAGGTGTAGTAGAGGTTCAAGCATCACTTACCAAGTAATCAAGAGAGATAGGGAGTGTGGACACCTTAGCTCTCCAAAAAAAACTTCACTAAGCACTCAAGAGCACCAAAGGAAGGAATTTTATGGAGTAGATTCTAGTTTAAGCACTTGAGTTGGGAGATTTGAGCTTGTTGGAAGCTTAAACTTGGAAGAGTTTTTCTTTCTTCTTGGATGAGAGGTTCGGCCATCAAGGAGCAATAAATGGTAAGTTTTGTTCAATTTTTAAGATATTTAAACAAGTGGTCAAAAGGTCAAAAAATAGAATAGTAAACCATAAAGTCCAACCAATCATATTGTGACACTTGTCACACTCATTAATGCAACTCTATCCTTTTGTCTCTCCAATACAAATACCTTAACACTTTGTAAAATAATATCACTTAATACAAAAATCCAACAAGTTGTCAAAAATATAATGCATTTACCGCACTTGCGGGTCCCACGTCCAAAATACGCTTTTAATTTCTCAAAAACTAACCGATACTAGAAAAATCATTTTAAAACTATTTTTACTCATAAACTTTATCTGGGGAATTTTTCTAATAAAGAAAATGTAGAAAAGGCGGGCGATTAAATAAAATAAACCCTAGAAAATTAGAAAATTTTCGGGTTCTCATACTCATACTTTTCGGGGCGTCACAGATTGCTACCCCCTTCCACGGATTGACCAGCTCGTGGACTCAACAGCTGGCTACGAGATCTTTTGTTTCTTGGACGCTTTCAAGGGGTACCATCAGATAGCCTTGGACGAGGAGGATCAGGAGAAGACCTCGTTTATTACCGAGGACGGCACTTATTGTTACGTCACCATGCCATTCGGGCTAAAGAACGCGGGCGCGACCTATCAGAGGTTGGTAAACAAATTGTTCAAAAATCAGATCGGCCGAAACCTGGAGGTATATGTGGACGATATGTTAGTAAAAAGTCAAACCCAGGAGCAGTTCATCTCTGACCTGAGGGAAATCTTCGAGGTTCTGCGGAGCTCAGGAATGCGGCTAAACCCAAAGAAGTATACTTTTGGGGTCCGGTCGGGAAAATTCTTGGGTTACATGATTTCTAAAGAAGGGGTGAGAGCCAATCCGGACAAGATCAAGGCCATCCTGGACATGGCTCCACCTCGGAATATTAAGGAGGTGCAACGTCTGATAGGGAGGATGGCAGCCTTGAACAGGTTCCTGTCCAGATCGGCAGTTCGGGGGTCGCCTTTCTTCAAGGCCTTGAAAGGAGGTCGGTAGTTTGTGTGGGGTCCAGAGTGCCAGAAGGCGTTCGCTGAACTGAAGGCGTACCTCACTCGGTTGCCAGCCCTAACTTCTCCCGAGTTGGGGGAGACCTTGTTCCTCTATTTAGCTGCGGGAGAGGGGGCCATTAGCACGGTGCTGGTGCGAGAAGAGAGCAAGGTTCAAAAACCTTTATATTATGTCAGCCGCGCCCTGTAGGGGGCCGAGGTAAGGTACTCGTCAATAGAGCGATATGTTCTAATGTTGGTACATGCAGCTCAGAAGCTCAGGACATACTTCCAAACTCATCCTGTTGTGGTGGTGACGGACCAACCCTTGAAAGAGATCCTTTCCAAGCCCGAGGCTTCAGGACGGATGGTGAAGTGGGCTGTGGAGCTGTCAGAATACGATCTGGGATACCAGCCAAGGACAGCTATCAAAGCCCAAGCCTTGGTGGACTTCATAGCGGATGGCGTCTCCTTTGGGTCGACCGAAGCAGAGGCCGAACAGGCTGAAGAGACAAATAAAGGTGGAAAGGATGAAGGAATCATCAAGGACGCACACCCCAGGCGAGCAGCCGAAGCCCTACAGGCCCAAAAAACTACCAAGGCCGTGCTGATCCGAGAAGCAGTCGAGGTCCTAGCGGCTGAAGACGCTGCTGGGGTCGCTCAGGCCAGTCAGGTAGCAGAGGTCGAACAGGTCGGAGAAGTAGTTGAGACCGAGCAGGTCAAAGAGGCTGTCGAGGCCAGTCAGGTCGGGAAGGCAGCTGAGGTTGGGCTGGCCGGAGAGGCTGCCGAGACCAAGAAGGCTACAAAGGCTGAAGAACAGATGGATCCTCCTTGGACATTGTACGTGGATGGTGCGTCAAGCAAGGAAGGATGCGGAGTCGGGCTCCTCCTAATCAGTCCTACTGGGGAAGAACTGCCCTACGCACTAAGGTTCGATTTTAGAACTTCTAACAACGAATCAGAATATGAAGCTCTGATTGCAGGGATGGAAATTGCCCGCAAGTTAGGAGTCAGATCGATAAAAGTCTATAGCGACTCGCAGCTGATAGTGAACCAGGTTTGGGGGAGCTATGAGGTCAAAGAGGGGACGCTGAGAAAATACGTGGCCAAGACGCGTGAGTTGAAGGGCCTGTTCGAGCAGTTCGCGCTTGAGCAAATTCCGCGGAGTCAGAACAAGAGAGCTGATGCCCTGTCCAAACTGGCCTCCACCTCGGTTGGCATCTTGGGTCGAGAGATAGTGATGGAGGTCGTCAGAAGTCGGGCGTATGAACAGGTGAGTGCTGCGGTCATACATGTGGTGAGCTCGTGGATGGATCCTATTGTTCGATATTTGGCTCAGGGTGAGCTTCCGCCGAGCAGAATAGAGGCTCGCAAGATTCTCCTAAAATCACAGAGGTACGTGCTCACACATGGAGTCCTGTACAGGAAATCTTACTTGCAGCTCTGGTTGAAGTGTGTAACGCCTGAGGAAGGGGGCTATGTCCTGCGCGAGCTACATGAAGGCCTCTGCGGCAACCATGTCGGTCCAAGAGTATTGGCTAAGAAGGGAATGCTGGCTGGATACTATTGGCCCACCATCTTCAGGGACTCAGCCGAACTGGTAGCCAGATGTAAATCATGCCAGTTGCACGCCCCAGTTCATCATGCCCCAACTCAGGAAATGATTCTTCTTCATAGCCCGTGGCCGTTCTTCCAGTGGGGAATTGACTTGTTAGGACTTTTCCCCCGAGCTCCAGGTGGTTATGAACACTTGGTGGTGGCAATTGATTACTTCACCAAGTGGATAGAAGTTGAGCCGCTCAGTACAATCAGCAGCAGGTCGATACATAAGTTCCTTTGGAGGAACGTAGTCTGCCGATTTGACATACCAAGGGTTCTCGTTTCGGATAATGGCCGACAGTTCGCGGATCATTCGCTTCAGGAGTGGTGCGCTGAGTTGGGCATCCAGCAGCACTTCACCTCAGTAGGGCACCCCCAAGCCAATGGGCAGGTCGAGAATGTTAACAGGACCATCTTGCACGGCTTAAGAACAAGAATAGAGTCTGCGCAAACTGGTTGGTTGGACGAGCTGCCCACTATATATGGGCTTATCGGACGACACCTCGGACGGCCACCCAAGAGACCCCATTCGTCCTGACATACGGGGTCGAAACAGTGATCCCAACAGAAATTGGAGTACCCTCGGGTAGGGTGCAACACTTTGTGGCTCAGGGCAATGAGGAAGAAATGCGGTTTGACTTGGATATGCTCGAGTATCGAAGGGAAGAGGCGGCTATAAGAATGGCTAAATATAAGGGTCAGATCGCACGTTACTACAATGCCATGGTAAGACATCTTTCTTTCAAGTCAGGGGACTTGGTGTTACGCAAAAACTCCGTAAGCCGAGCTGTGGGCACAGGCAAGTTAGATCCAAACTGGGAAGGTCCCTATGTGGTAAAGGAAGCTAACCGAGCAGGTTACTGTAAGCTAGCTCGCCTGGATGGAGGCGAAGTCCCGCGCACCTGGCACAACTCAAATTTAAGGCTTCTTCTTTAGATATCCTGCCCGAGCTGACAATGTTCAGCTGGACAGGTCTGCTTTTCATTTTTATTAGTTCGATCTCTGAGAATTATAAATGTATTCAATCTTTGAAATAAAGACTGGGCCATGACTAGAACTGGAGGGGGAAGGTATTCAGACCCGGACGAGCTGGAAGAAGAAGAACTAGACGAGAGTATCTCTATAGGTGCAGGTCGGACAATTCTACGCCTAGGTGCTGAGCTGGTGAGGTCTGAGTGTGTGGAAGAAGACGACATAAAAAGAAAAGAGGACTTACTGGTGGATGAAGGAGAAGAACTGAAGTATGCTAGAAAGGGAGATCCTACTCTCGAACGACCTCACAGAATGCGGAGCGAGCTGGTGAAGATTGGGGAGAAGGAAGAATGAGAAAGAAAGCTTGAAAGTGACGTCTGGTGGGGTCTATTTATAGGCTACCTGGGCGGGAGATGAAGAGTCCCGAATTGAAATTTTGAAATTATTGCCTGGTAACTGCTACCTGGGGAAACGTTTGGACTAACAATCGCCATTATAAAGGACGTGACAATTGAAACGACGGTTGACCAGTAGACATGGCGGTTATCCGGACAAGGTGTGTGATCGTGGGATCGTGGGTTCCTCGCCTTGCCGACCTGGTGCTTCGAAATCTGGTCTAGACTCACGCGACCTCTCAGTAACTCTAGACCCAGGGGGGCTAGTGTAGTGGGGCAAATACACGCATGACACGTGTCAGCTCGGCAGGCCGCACGCATCAGGTCGGCAATATAGGCCTTGTGTGTTGCTCGCTGCAGATCGGCATAAGCGGGCTAACTCGGCCGTAACAGCCGCCTCTCCCTATAGTGGGCCTCGTGGGCCGCCGCCTCCGAACTATTAGGGGCCGTCATGCCAAACCCTAATAAGATTTCGAACCCTAAGGGACTTTGACTCCAATAAGGAAACTACTACCCGGTCAAGCCTATAAATATAGCACTAAAGGACTACACAAGGTACGTGAAAAACAACACTCGTGCTCATTACTCTGCTCAGAAAACTTTACTAATTTAATCATCGGAGTTATCCCGGGGACTTTAGTCCCGCTGTTCCACTTCCTTCGCAGGGTTCATAGCTCATTCATCAGACATCGTTCCCAACTGTCCCCGATCAGCTCAGCTCGGTACAGCTCAGCTCGAACCAGGTTTTTGGCAGTCGCATCATAAACATATTTTTTCATTAATTTTTATATTTTTGATTAATATTTTTATTTCACACATATCATATTACAAAAAAAAAGTACTATAGTTTTATTCTAAAATTTTTTAAAAATAATCTCCTATCCAAATACATGAGAAGGGGGAAAAAATCAAGGGTAACCATCATACTATAAATCAGAGTACAGCAATGCATGAAGAGAAATATCAAATGATAGGCACATGCACGATAATTATGTGACTAAAACAATTTCTTTCTTACCACTTAAGTGCATGATACAACACTTTTGAAATAGGAGATTTGTCAAAAAAAAAAAAAAAAACTACATGCTGCACATGAAAAATTGAAGACATGTGAAAATTGAAGGGATTTTTTTAGTTTTAGGCTATCTTTATTTTTAAAAAATTCCTAGCAAGTATGGGATGGATAGAGAAATTAAATGTGCACTCATATTAAAATGGTAATTTGTCAAATAAAATTTACGTTTCGGATTGCAAATAATATGGCCAAAAATGTTTAATTTAACTCAAAAAAATGACATTGAATCTACTTATGCATTAGATAAAATAAAAAAGATTTTTTTTAACGAGTGTCCTAAATTATACTTAACTTATTATATTAATATACATAGTTATATTACTAATTAAACGCCCTTATACTTTTTCAAGATTAATTGCACTCTTGCTAAACCCTAAAAAAAAACCAAAATACACTTATAGAAAATTCCAATTCTTCAACCCCCTCTTGTCACTTCTTTTGACTAGTTTTTCTCCAAAAATCCCAAAAAATTCCCTTTTTCCCTCATTTTTCAACTTTCCCACCATACGCCCTAAATTAGAGGTGTCAAAATGGATGATTTGGACGGGTTTGGGTTGGATAAAATGGATAATGGGTATAAGTGAGTCAACTCATTTATACCCATTTAATTAAATGGGTAAGTAAAAAAATGAATTGGGTAACCTAATTACTCATTTATAACCCATTTCTTTTAACTTTTTGTAAACTCATTTAAATTTATTTTTGCAAACTAAGTTATCAATTTATACCGCTCTTTATACTCATCATTAGTTTTAAATATTTACTTATAATGTTTAATAAGCCTAATTACCAATTTTTTTCCCCATTGATACTCTATATCACAAAATTATATATTATTTAATAATAAGAATATAAAAATTTGAACTAAGTACTACAAAAGTTAATATAAAAATTCTATCCAAAAATTTTGAACCCCTAATATATTTTTCATAAATAAATTTAAATTTTCATTTTAGAAAGATAAAAAAAGAGGTTAAAACTTGTCATAAATTGATAATACTGAAAAATGAGTAAGTTAACAAATTAAGAGAAAATAAAATAATAAGTTAAACCAACAAATACTAATAATAATAATGAAACAAAAGTAGTTAATATTATGACAAAATAAAAATTTTGAAAAACAAAATGAGTAGGGGAAGAGAAGAGATTTGGAAAAAAAGAATTTTAAATGAGTTAATTGGATTTGATGGGTTATCTAATAATATTTATTTTATTAAATTAGGTATTATTAAATAACCTATTTATACTTATATACAAAAATTTAAGATATTCAGGTACAATAAATTTAGTTAAGTAGGTTGATTTGCCGCCGATACCCTAAACGTCTTCAGTCGCCACTCCCAGCACCAGCTTCACCGTCTCCGCCGTCAAAATGAATCCCTCCTCCCTCTCCCTCCACCACCACCATTACCCGTCCACAACCACCACCACCACCATTTTCCATAAAAAACCCACCCCAACCCCACAATCTTTCAAACTACGCACCTCATTTTCCCCAATTAAAATGTCACTCACGGAAAATGCCCCCTCAATCGCCATCGTCGGCGTCACCGGAGCCGTCGGCCAAGAATTCCTCTCCGTATTGTCCGACCGGAACTTCCCCTACCGATCCCTTAAGCTCCTGGCCAGCAAACGCTCAGCTGGGAAAGAAATAATTTATGAAGATAAGGCCTATATTGTTGAAGAACTGAATGAAGAAAGCTTCAAGGGTATTGATATTGCGCTTTTCAGCGCTGGTGGTTCGATAAGCAAGAAATTCGGGCCGTTGGCGGTGCAAGATGGGAGTATTGTGGTGGATAATAGCTCTGCTTTCAGGATGGATGATGGGGTTCCCCTTGTTGTCCCAGAGGTTAATCCGGAGGCTATGGAGCATATCAAGATTGGGAGTGGTAAAGGCGCATTGATTGCGAACCCGAATTGTTCGACCATCATATGTTTAATGGCAGCTACTCCGCTGCATCGCCATGCCAAGGCGAGTGAATTTGGTATAAATTGGTTATATTGTTTGCTTTTTCTTTATTAGAAGATGGGAAGTCAAAAGATGAAATTTTTAATGGAAGTAGTTGAAAATGTGGTGTATGTTAGGATCATTACTTTGCAATTTTTCTATATTTGGAGTTTTCAAGAGAGTCTGATTATAAAGAAGAAATCGTGATTTAGGCGCCTATGTGTAACCCATTTTTGTATGCCTGGTTTTTTACGTGATTGTGAGAAAAAATGGAGATTTTTGGTGATTGGGGTGAATGATTTTCATCAGTTTATTCAAGCTGTCACCCTGGTAATAGTGGCTTTCTGTTGAAATTGGAGGATGGTTTGAGATTTATTGATGCATGGGTCAGGGTAATGTCGTCATATATGTTTTATAGAAATTTTGTTGAATTGTTGAGGTATCTTTACAGATTTTAGGCTACCTTAATTATGAGAGTTTGATTTATTTTTGGCAAGGATTCAAGAGAATCTTGGTCTTGGCATACATGAGCGATGCCTGGTGTATTTAGATTGATGAGTAATGCCTAGTGTCATTGGACAGATTAGTTCCCTGTGGTTTTTTAACTACCTTATGTTTTGGAATAAGTAGCTTTTGCAAGGTTTTCTCTTTGGTACTAATGGCTTCAAAGCATAGTAATTAGTCGTAGATATTCATTTTTTGATGAATGGTTGGTAAGCCGTGTTAAGCTGATTAATAAAGGTACGCTTTATGTTGCTTGTGGACGGTAAATAGTGTGGTGTGTAGACCATAAGTTTTTGGATGAATTTTTTATCTTAGCACTGGAAATTGGTCGCCAATGGAATTCCTGCCATCTTTGAAGTGAAGGTCAGCTTGGCAGTTCAAATGAGAAAGAAGAATAACGAGAAGATAATGAAATGAAAAGTCAAAATGGTACATGGGAAAGGAGGAAACTTGTCAAGTTTCTTATTGTTATTGGTAATGTCACTGTAATGGACAGCTTTAATTACATGGAGAAAGGTGGAAATATATATTTGAATGTTGGTTCGGAATGCTATGTTCTAATGTCTTGCTTTATCTAGATCAAGTCAACTAGTTTCCACAAATTTGTTGAAGTTTGACATTACTGCCGCCCCTTCCCCTAACTGATCTCGTTTGGTGTTTCAATTTCCAGGTTAAACGCATGGTTGTTAGTACATATCAGGCAGCTAGTGGTGCTGGTGCTGCTGCAATGGAAGAGCTTGAACTGCAAACTCGTGAGGTTTTCAGCCTATCAACATCTGCTTCCTTTCAGCTTTTTATGCAACAGATTAACACCTTTTTTTTGTGGTATAGGTACTTGATAGGAAGGAACCAACCTGTAAAATCTTTAAGCGACAGGTTTGTCAATCAGTGACACAATACAAACTGTCATGGATTTAGCTTTTATCTATTTTTTGAATTTTTATGCGGTTAAGTTCTCCATATGCAGTATGCGTTCAATCTTTTCTCACATAACGCACCTGTTCTCCCAAATGGCTACAATGAGGAGGAAATGAAACTAGTAAAAGAAACGAAGAAAATATGGGTTAGCATTTTTATTCCATCTCCACTAGATTTTTCTACCATATTTGATGAATTAGACGCGCATCTGATTACACATTTTAGTTAGATACTTTAACAGACGAATCTATTGACTCAAACTAACAACCTTTTCTCTGTTCCTGTCTAGAATGACGCGAATGTAAAAGTCACTGCAACTTGCATTCGAGTTCCAGTTATGCGAGCACATGCTGAGAGTGTAAATCTTCAGTTTGAGAAGCCATTACACGAGGTAATACTTTTGGTGCTATATCATTCATGATATTACTTGGGATGGAATTTCTGTTTGCCGCGTTCCTTCTAGGTGTGGAACGTGTGATTGGAGTTAAATTGTATGAATTTGAGGCTGAAGTTA